TTGCCATGCATTCAGTGAAACTTCAAAAGAGCTTTTATTTCTCCTTCGAAGATTTAATAAAAGAAAGCAATGCTATCAAATAGTTCACTGTTAACATTTTGTATCTGAAACTAAAGGAAACCAAAATGGAGCGTAGGCCAGGGCAAAACACTGCGCACCAGCTCAAAGAATTCACTTAAGAATGCACATAGGTTCTGCCCAAATCAGGTTCACAGCAGATGACTGGTATCTGGCCTGTCACTGGGTCCTAGTTTGGTATGCTACTTTGCACTGGTCAGAGGCACTTCTGTGGGGCCGAGTGTCATCCAGCTGAGGCACAGAGAGGCAGCAGGATTTGCTGAGCACAACTTCCTCATACATCTCTGAGGTGAAGCCTCTGGCCAGCATCCTAAGGCCCCACACGAATGCTAAGACTAGAGAGTCTTAGAGTGCTGAGCCCACGAGCAGAAGACAATCTCCAGAGGTTGTAGTGGAGACTCATGGTATCTTCACTGATCCTCAGAACAGAGCACACTGGGTAGCAAATCACTGGAAGAGACACAGTCGTGCTCCTAGTCTTACGAACCTTTCCTAAGATGCTCTCTGCTACCTCCCAGGATCTTTGACTTTTCACAGGTCCTGGAGAAACCACTTGGGGCACAGATTAGTGAGGCTCAGAGGTAAGAGCTTGTAGGGCAGGGCTATCAGTACCACTGGCTTGAAACTGCCTCAGTGCAGCTCTAGGCCTGAGGAGGATGCTTGAGACCACCGTGGCTGTCAAGGAACGACTGATGAAAGAAAGAGTAACAACATGGGGTTTAGTGGGAACTGCGTGGACCACAGCAGATTTAGCCAGCAAGGCACTGGCAAGGACCAAGCTGGAGGACTTTCTAGCTTCTGAGACGAGGATGTCCACAATACACTAGGTAAGTACAGTCGCAAGCAGGAGCTTTTTTGTGTGGCTCAGAGTGTGGGCCCTGAGCAGGAGTGTAGCAATAGCTCCCCTGCAATGAGCAAGTTGTGATCATGGCATGGGTAACCACAACATGACCAGGACGGCCTGAATATTTCCTGACCAGTGCACACACAAGCCTGGTGACAGACATCCTACCTGATCTCAATGGATGAGAGACTTGGGATGAGGGGTGAGGGGCTCCTGAGGGCCTTCTTTCTCTTCCAGTGTCAATTTTCCCTTCCTATCCTGCTTCAGTAAGGACTTCTAACCACCTGGTGGAACTGACATAATGGTCAACCCTGCCAGTCCTTGACAAAACTGCTTGCTTAGGAATACCTCTTACCATTCTACCCTAATCATCCCTTTCATTAAACCTAAAGCTCATGTCATTGTCCTGAAGACAGACTTAGGGCAGCTGAACTCTATCTTGTTTCGATTCCCAATATGGCTAAAGTGATGAAATCCTCATTTCTATTTTTCATCATTAGTATCTCTTTACTTGGCACATCAAGATAGTAGCTGAGCTTAGCCTATTAGAGCTAGAAGTTTGTCCTAAAACTCTTTAACAGGTTAAACAGAAGGCAATGGAAAGTTTCAGCTGAGAAATTTGAAACTGTGAGATATATTTTCCAGGAATATGTTGGTTATCAAAGTTCATAAAGAAGAAAGAGGTTTAATTTTTTAACTACAGAAAAAAAGGACTTAGTAGTTCTCATCGAAAAAGTAAGAAACAGAGGTGTAACTATTCAGTGGTACTGTCTCCCAAAGCTTTGAAATCATGTTAATCCACATATAAATTCATTCATTCCATTCAATTATTTGGTAACTATATACGGGTTCATTGTGTGCTGCAAACCAAAGGTGTTTTGGAGACAGGGGTAGGTTTTATTCCTGGGCTTGTGTAGCAAAGAAGTGCATCATTTAATAAACAATAGGATAAACACATGGCAAGTGTAAATAAATAAACAACATGGGTAAAAGTACTATTGACATGAAGCCATATCCCGGGTTGAAGTGACACCAGGAGGGTATGAGGAGGTGGAGGCCAGGACCTGTAAGAATAAAAGTTCTCACAGATGAGATCAAGTTTAGATGAGATCGTGGGAAGTTAGGCTGGGCTCAAACCCAAAGGGGGAACTCAGAGGGAAGAAGACCTCTGCAAGCCAAACATGTCTTGGAGTGTGCCACAGCAGGACTGAGAGGTCAGCAGTGTGTACCAGAGCCTCTGGATTCCACTCGTCAGCCTGGAACACTGATCTCCAGGACCAGGGGATGTTTCTTTTATTCTAATTTTCCACCAGCGTTGCCAGTACCTTGTTAGAGCAGCCCAGGGAATCAAGCAAACAAATGGCAAGCAGGAAAGTCAGCAAAGGTCTGGGTGACTTGCAAAGACCATGGCACCTGAGACACAGGGCTAGGGAACAAAGTGGTCAGTGCTAAGAAAAGAAGAAAAGTCGTGGGCAGGAAAACAGGGCTCTTTGCAGTTGGAGATTGGGTAGGGCCAGACCGCAGAAGGATCGAGGGGCCTCAAGGGCAAAGGACGCCTGTGGAGTCTTCCGCATTAAAACAGCTCTAGCTGTGACATAAAGAATGGTCTGGGGGACAAAAGCCAGTGGCAGGAGCACATCACGGGGTTAGAAAAGAGATGTAATCAGATAAGGAAATCTATAGGCTTCAGGCACCTAGAAACTGTCTGTGGAGGAGTTTGGGCTGGGTCCTCCAGAACTCAAGAGGGGGAAAGCGAGTACCTGTGGCCGAGTTCCACAGCCTAGGAATTCAGTCACATGTTATATCTGTTGCTTTTATTTCCTTGGTTGCAAATTGATCTGAAGGCTGCTTCCCGTCATGATGTCAAAGCAACTGCAGTTACTCTTTATTTCATATCCTCATTGAAGTCAGTCCAAAAACTGTCAGGAATAGATAGCCCTCGGACCCACAAGAAAACTCGAGCCTGCACATCAGCTCCAAGCAAATGACACTAAAGCTGAATGAGGAGGGCCCTCAGCTTGGAAGAGTGGGCACAGCCTATGCTTCTTAAAGCAGAACTTTAGGGCACATACAGGCAGCCTTGCCACTTTTTTTCCCCCTTTCCATATCTTTGATGAAGAGGGTGGCGGACATGTCTCTGAGAAACAGAGAGCAGCCCAAGTCTGAAAAGGACAGCTGAGGTAGCAATGAGTCTGGACATGCCTCTGGGAGAGAGGAGGAAGACTCAGGATGGGCAATGGCTAAATGGGTGAAGGGTGTTGGACCCCAGCCAAGTGAAGGAGACAGACTACCACTGTCACAGTGTTCGGACTAGTGGAAACGGTTATGGCATGAGTGCTCACTTCAGACCATTTAGTGAAAGAGCGAACACAGATTGTATAGCAAAGCACACACATGTGTCCGTGTTGCATATGTTCCGCCATAGGACGTAACACTTCTGGGTCCTCACAGCTTATATGGGCAGTTAAGAGAGCTTCACACATGAGCTAAGCTTATGTGTTGAACAGCCTACTATGCGTTGTCTTAGAGCCACTAAACAATCCGCTGCCGGTCCGTGTTCAATGGCCCACCCCTCCTCCAATAAAATGTGTAATTGTAAGATAGCTCAGTCTCCAAGATCTTGGACACTCAGAACGGTCCGCTGGTGAGCTGCCCTCGAGTAGTCTACCATCCAGAGCTGGGACAGCATCCTCAGCCACACAGGGTCACTAAGGCCGAGTTTATTGCATAGATCTGAGGGACACCAATTTGTCTATTCTAGATGAATGAGTTAGGCTGTGACTGGCCAGCGGGATGCATACTGTACCTCCTACACCTGCAGACATATTCATTGCTGGTTTGTGGGGCAGAGGCCATGTGCACCTAGGTCCACCTGGTAGGGAGGCTTTGCTATGTCAGGTGGACAATGTCCATCTCTAGTTTGTGGGGTGGGGGTTCAGTGTATAGAGATGCTGCATCCATCAGCATGATGGACGGACTCTGAGTCCATATTGGGTCTGGGGGTCAGATCCTGTTTTCAGCCTAGGTGTGCGGGATGAGGTTTCTGTGTCTGTCCAGAATCTGCGGGATGGGTCATCACATTCATCTAGGCATGCAGGGAGAACGGTATCCATTCTAGGTATGTAGGACAAGGATGTTGTGTCATTCAGGTCTGGGAGCTAGATATGTCTTGTGTTTGTGGGGTGGGAATAGACTGTTCACCCCAAATCTGTAGGGTCCAAATGCCGTGTATATCCCCAGTCTCTGCAGAAGGTGACATTTCCGCCCCAGGTCTCTGGGGAAGATGCCATATCCATCCTAGGTGTGTGAGGATTGGACACCACGTCCGTTCCTGGCCCATAGGGCAGAAGCCGTGACTATCTCAGGTTTGTGACACTGAGGCCATTGGCATCTCATTTCTCTGAGGAACAGCTGTGTGGATTGTAGGACCCAGATTTGTGGGATGACACTGTAGTTCAAACTGAGCCTTTAGGGTGCCCATGGCATGTACGACTCTGTGGATTAAGTCACGCAGCTTACGCCTGCTCCGTGGGGAGCACAGAGAGTACCCAGCCTGGGTCTGTGGGAGTCAGTACATCTGGGTATGTGAAGCACGGAAGCCGGTCTGTGCCCTTTCCATAATGAGAATGCGAGCTCATCCCGATGTTGTGGGACTGACCACAAGTCCCTCCCAGGTCTCTGTATTTATCTCGGGTTTGTGTGGAGGTCGCCGGGTCCAGGCGTGGGGTGCAGACGCCCGAGATCATCCGGCGTCTGCGGGACCAACGCTGTGTTCAGGTGTGTGGAGAGGATGCTGCGTTCTCCGCAGGTCTGTTAGGCGCGGGCCGAGTCAGTCCCGGGGTCCGACCTTGGCACCGGCTGGGACTGTGGAACCTAAGAGCCCCCAGCTTTCTGGGGAGTTTGGGGAAAACCAAACTGGCTAGGCACTCTTACACTTCTCACAGAAAAGCATTAATGTAATCGTGAAAGTTGGACCGCCTAAAAAAAAAAAAAAAATCTCAGAATTCTCGCGAGAAGAGCCAAGTGCCAGGTTCGTACCCGTAGATCTCGCGAGAAGACTAGGCGCCTTTCCTGGCTGTCGGAAGCTGCGGACTTTCTCCAGGCTGTTGCGATCCCCGGAGCGATGCCGTCCCCTTTCTCAGTCAGAGCCTTCCCTGTCAGCATCCCCGCGGTGATCATGGTAACTCGTAGGCTCTGGGGACTGGGCGGTGCCGGCACGTGGTGGGGATTCGCTAGCTCCTGTGTGTATTGCGCGGGCGGGTAGTATCCTCAAGTCCCGGTTTGCTCTGCTGGATAGGGGCAAATCCCTGGTGCCCAACGGCGGCCTTCTGGGTCCTGGCACCGTCGTACATTGCTTTCCCTATCACTCTCTGGACTCCCTGTCAGTGTGCTGTCTTGGGCATGAGAAGTGCTGAGGAGTCGGGGCTAGGAACTTAGTGTTAGGTGGGGACAGGGTCAGAAAGGTTTGAGCCTTGGGGCATGGACACCGATGTCTGTCTCTAAGACCCCAAAGAACTGCTGAAGCACACCAGCTAGCGAGCTGGGTGCATTGCAGAAGTGCTGGGTACAGTAGGTCCTACAGATCAGGATGGCTCTCAGTTGCAGGCCATCATACAAGGTGCTTGGTCTAAGCAGCCTCGCGTGCTCCAAGTGCATAGGTCAACATGACTTTACCTGGCTTGTTTAGATGATAGTAACTAGTTTTCACCCAGTCAAAAGAGGCAAATGGGCGACGTTTGCCATTCTGTATGCTCAGACTTTAAAATCTTTGTGTAGAAATCTGTGGGTGTGTTTGCAGTTGAAGCACCGTTTCCTCCCTTTTCATTCTTGCTTCCGTTTGACTGGGAGGCCTAAGTTGTGTAGTCACCAACCTCAAGGGAAGGGACCAGTAGCTCCCACCACCCACAGGAAAGCAGTTTCCCAGGCATATTGCCTGCCCTCCGGGTTTCTAATGGTGTATCCTCACAGGAAACAGACTGGACAGAGCCATGGCTTTGGGGGCTCATGGTCTTCCACCTGCTGTGCCTGCTTCTCACATGCTTCTCATCACAGAGGTATAAACTACAGATCGGGCACTTCCTGTGTCTGGGTGAGTAGGAGACAGCTGAATCCCTGTGCTCTTGTTGCTACGATATTATCCAGGGTTTGTTTGTATTATGTTTTCACAGGGTTTCCCAAGCCTTCCATTTTGTACTGGAATCATGAAGTAGTCTTTGGACGTTGGAGTTGATAGGGGTCCTTTTGTTGTTGTTGTGCCAGACTGGCCAGGGAAGATGTACTAAGATGCTGATTCTCTTAATTCTGACTCTTACACAGATAGTTCCCTGCTTGAGTTCAGTCCAGCTTGTCTTTCATGCAGATGTTTTCTTGCCAGGCTTAGTCCCACACTGCCTGCTCTGGAAATCAGAATACAAATGAAGGGGCATTCTATGCATAAAATAGGATTTTAGATTAGTCTTAAAGATAATGGCTTTAGAAATTTCAGGAAGGGATTAGGTATATGGAATGGGGAAAGATTATATAAAAACAGGCAAAAATAAAAATCGTGGTACCCTGCAAAATGGGGACAGTCAATATATTGGGCTCCTCAGTGGGGTCAAAAGGATACATAGTGAAATGTCGGTAAGAAAATGTCAATAACAACTGGCTGCTGACCTAGGCATGAGGTCAGCCCCTAATGAAGAAGTGGTCTGGGGAGGATATGGGTAGTTAGCTGGATCACAGGTCAGAGACCACATCTCTAAGAGCCAAGTCTTCCAAAGCTGAGTGATTACAGCTTTAAATACTTGATTTTTGTGAGCACTGGAAAGACGAGAAGATTTTGCTTGATAAATGGAAAAGCTGCTCTTAGACAAATGTAATCAGTTGGCTGTGAGAGGCAGGAAATGTGAGCAAAACCGAGAGAAGTGATGATTATAGACATTAATAGAGACGCCGCCCATTCTTCATTTGAAATTCTTTCCCTGAGAAGTGTTGAGGTTTCATTGGCGAGCTTTAGAGTTTTAAGCTTAATGTGGCTTCCCTGGGGACACCCAAATTAGGTAGATAATTGTGGATGATTGTAATTGTACTGTTAGCGGCAGTAATGATCATTTTGATAAGAACTGAGGGGCTGGGTTCCTGCAGCAGTGTGGAGCCACACCGGGAGGAGCAGACCAAAGCACTGGCAGGAGAGTCTGTACAGTTGGAAAGTACAGACGCCTCAAGCGATGGGCCTTGAAAGATGGGGCAATTTTCTAAGTGTAAGATTTTGAAGGAGGATAGCCACAGCATTCTTAGGAAATGACAGACACTGCTTTGTGTGCGCTTTGTGTGCTCTATGGCTCACTAAAGTCTCAAGAAATATAAAAATCTCCGCTGGAATGACTTTCTTTGTCTTGATGAATGCTGAGGCTCTACCACTGAGCTTTTCACCTGCACCCTGGTGGTCCTGCCAGGGCAGAAGAGCTTCATGGCATTTGATTAAGACCCATGGCCTCTTACGAGTGTCTTGATCTTTTTCTGATTCCAGTTAAATGAACATATTTTATAAGTTCACGGTTTTATAGTCCTTACCCACATCATAGCTAGAATGGAAATTGCATTTCTCAGCAAATTTATTTTGGTATTCTGTTGAATTGCTATATGTAAAATGTATTCTCTCGTTATGGATTATGATTGGCCATGAAAAGCTAACACGGATTCTGTCTTCTCTCAGTGCTGTTGGTCTATTGTGCTGAGTACATCAACGAAGTGGCTGCAATGAATTGGAGGTAAAGTCAGCTTCTCATGCTCTTGACTCTGTCTTAGGAGTTCTCCTCTGCAGTGATATTGTCACATAAAACTTTCTAAAGGCAGCATGAAACTTACAGGGAAATTGAGGACACCAGGAATTGTGGCCACATAAATATTGAGCACCCTGTACATATGGGTTTAGTCCCTAAGAAACAAGTAGTTAAATATTTTTTATTGTTGTTGACTGAAGACAAATAATTTTATTTATTAGAATAGTTTAAAACTCCTTTTAACTATTTGCATTATTGGGATTTGTATTATTTAACGAAAATCCCAATGCCGTTTTTTGGGTAACTTCTTATAGTCAGTGAAGCCTTAGAGGCTTACAGAGCAGTGAGATATTTTAAGGATGGCATAAGCTTATTGACTGCACCACATGAGCTCGTACGGTGCTGGCCAATTAAGTTACAGCCTGAGAGAATACTGGGAGTATTAGAAAGTAATTTGAGTTGCAGAATTAAGAAGGTGGGAGTTTAGCTTATTGAATATATGTTACTATTCAGGAGTAAGTGGTGCTTTTAATATCTTTCTCCTGCCCTCTCCCCTGTCCTCTTGGAAATGTCCACCCTGTACCTGAACAGTGCCAGAGCTTCCACAGTTACCTTCCTGCTTCCCCAGCCCCAACCCTGGCACCTGAGTTGTTTTAACTGATTTTCCTGTCTCAGTACAGGAAACATCCCAGTCCTTAATCACTCAGAGAAAAGCACAGAACTGTATTGATGCCCATGGCCTCCGCGGTAGCCCCTCCTTATGGCCCACTGCCACCTCAAATTTGTGTTGATCCCTTCTCCAAGTCAGAGTCTAGCCTTGACTTCTCATCACCCATACATTCATATGATCTCTGCTTTGTTTTCATAAGTCAGACTAGCCTTCTACCTGGGCTTATCCTTCTCTCTAGACGGTAGGCTTTCTTCAAGAGCAAATCTGCCTTTACATTTCCTCGCTGGAACCCATAGCTCATGTAACAGGTTCCCAATCGCTGTTACTGAGTCAATAAAAAGTGCTGTCTACCATATTTCCATATTTACCGAGAGGGAAATCCCCACAGACAAGTCCTGCCTTCGACTTGGCTCTTTACCCTTGGGCAAGTTGGAATCATGCAGCCTTCAATCTCCTCCAGAGAATGGGAGTTACTTCACTAAGTGGTTGTGAGCAGGAAGGACCAGTCCTTCCTTAAGTACCCATAGCACGAATGCAGCCCTTTGTAATGTGTGAGAAACATTAAAGCTGTAATTAAAGCTGTAGAATTCTGAGAACTCATCTGTGAACCCAGATTCTTAACTGCTGTACATCTGTTACCTTCCAGGACTGAACATCCAATAATTTTTCCTTATTTTCCCCTTTTAAAACAGATTGTTTGCAAAGTATCAGTATTTTGACTCCCGGGGAATGTTCATTTCTATTGTGTTCTCCGCACCATTGCTGTTCAATGCCATGGTCATTGTGGTAAGTATGAAGCAGACATTGATGTCCTAGGTTTCTGCAGGCTCATGTTTCCCAGTTTTAATCGTGACTCCAAATGATTTTTAGATTATGTGGGTACGGAAGACGTTGAACGTGATGACTGACCTGAAGAATTTACAAGAGCAAAGAAAGGAGAGGAAAAGGAGAAGAAAAGAAGAATAATGCCTAGCTGCTGCTGCTTCCACAGACCTTGTTTCTCCTCTGGCTCAGTTGTGTCTGGTTGTAAGCTGCACGTGGCCCAGATGTCTCCTGTCAGCTGACTCACAGCTTGGAAAATGGTTCTTCTGTTTTACACTCCACAAATGGTTCTTACATTTTACTCCTTTTGGAGCCCTTGCTAAAGCTGTTTCTTCAAAGAACTAACGAGGTCACCTGGACGCATGTTGACTGTGGACCCATCCTGTACACAGTGGGAGCTTTCTGATTCATCCACATCCTACACAGCTTTTCACAATGTGCTGGTAGATCTCATGTAACTAGAGTTCGCTCAGTTGTGAGTGTGGAAACTGAGAAATAAACAGTGCCATCCCGCCATGGCACCACTACCAGCCCACTCTTCTGTTTCTAGCCTGCAGTGGTGGCTCTCAGCTAAGGCTGGTTTTGTTTCCCAGGGATTTGGTCACACTTGTCACCACAGGTGGACATGCACTTGTTGGAGAGAGCCTCTGGTGCTGAAATCCTACAGGGCACAGGACAGCCCCACCACGGGGTATTGTTGTGTGCATAATGTGAGCAGGACCCGGCTGAGGGACCTGTCGGGGCAGCTCTGGGGAAGAATGCGGTGTGGATCAGTTCCCATGAAGCTAGGCCTCTAAATAATTGAGTTGGGGCTCTGCCACTGGAAATGTTTTGTTTAAAAATATTAAGCCAGAATAAAAGCTGTGAAGTCAAGACTCCATGGAAAATAGTATGTCAAATGAGCCATTTGGTTTTGTTTTTTCTGGATACAGAAGTGTAAGTACCTGCATACTCAGTGAATGACTTAGCTGTTTCTACCCAGACTGCCGCAAGTGCAGGCTAGTTCTTCCTGGGTGTCACATCTTATGCAGTTGGGGGCTGGTGAGCACAGAGCAGGGCACATTGTCACCTGTGCTTCTGTTTGGTCAAACACCCCTAGTTTCTCTGGAATCTGAAGTAATAAATCTGCAGAGATTGCAAGTGACTGAAGACCGAAACTTAGAAACAGTGTTTAGTACCAGGAATACTGTAGACTCTTGACTTTAGTTTAATGAAATAATTTGTGAATTATTTTTTCTATTTAGTAGGATTTTTTTCCTTCCTAAATGAAACAGTCTTCAAAGTTCAAAAATCTTGATAAAAGTATTTAAAAGGTAGTTTGATAGATTACAGTTAAGTTCTGAAACATAGATACATAGTTTTAAATGTTTATCCAGCTTCAGACTTGAGGAGAAAGCCTATTGACTGAACTGTGATAATCTCCTATTCCTAAGGTATGAGTTTGTGGCTCCTATTGCAGCATTTAACCTGAATTGTGTTCTCAGTGTCTTGATTTGTTCCTGTTATACACTGCACAAAAAAAGTGCCAAAGAAAATAACATAGTGTAGTAAGTCAAATGTTAAGTTTAAAATCGCACTGTTCCGTCAGGGACACAGTATCTAGGGGTATATCTAATTGTTTGTCTGGTTCAGGGCATTTAATCATTTTTTGGTTTCCAAGGTGCTCACTATAACATTGATTAGTTTCAAAGAAAATAAGAACAAATTGGTCAGATAAATGTGAAACAGTGGTGTGCCAGCTAGGGGTGAAGCTCATCGACCAACTCTCTTACCCCCAGGCCTTGGCAGCTGAGGAGGCAAGCACTACAGAATGGGTCAGGGAGTGGTTGAGATGGCTGAGCTCTGACCTACATGGACAGTAACACCTCAGACTTTATATAACTGTGACCTTGACTTTGGGCTTTTGCGCCCTGTGTCTGCACGTGTGACTGTGAATGCACATGTGCTTAGTTTTTTATTTTTTTTCTAGAAGGAAGGTTTTGGATTAGAGAGATGGCTCAGTTGGTACTTTGCATGTACACATGGAGACCGGAGTTGGATCGGTAGAACTCACTCGAAGTTTGTGCAGACTGCACTTGCAGTCTCAGTACTGGAGAAGTGGAGACGGACAGATGCCTGGCGCATCCTGGCCGGCCCGCCTAGCCGACTTGGCAAGCTCTAAGCCAGAGACACTGTCTCAGAAATGAGATAGGGGCTTATGAAATGGCTCAGTGGGTAAGAGTGGCTGCTGCCAAGCATAACAATACAAGTGCAGTTCCTGGAAAACTTACTTGATGGAAGGACCGAACCAACAAGGCGTCCTCAGACTGTATATGCACACAGATAAATCCATGTTTAAAGAACTTGGTTAGTCATTCCTGAGGTTGTCCTCTGGCTTTCACAATGTGCGTGTGCACATTAGTACACACATAACACATACAAATGTTTTGTATTTTCTGAAACTCTGTGGCTAAAATTCTACTTTGAGGAACTGTCTTAATATTTTGTCCTTATATTAAGGAAAGCCCTGAAAGCCAGAATTATGAACAAGCAATTGGGTTCAGTGCTGCCGTGAAGAGTTTAGAGATTTGGCCAGTGTTGTGTTTACATTTCTGTAATGGAAGGTTTACAGGCAATCCGATAGACCTAGTGAAACATTCTCTTACTCTCTAGTTATGGAAAACAGAGAAAAGGCCTGTAACAACCATTTTACACATTCCAGCCAATAAAACCTTATGTTTGTTGATTACTGTGCATTAATATACAATAAAATGTTTGATAATATACAATGTGCTTTCTTTGGGTGTGTGTGTGTGTGTGTGTGTGTGTGTGTGTGTGTGTGTGTGTGTTGAATCTAATCTTGGACAAGATGTCTCAGGCTTCATTGTCTGCCTGTGACCCTCAGATTGCTGGAAATGCAATGCTGTCAACATCAATAGAAGAAAAGTCAAAATGGAAATGTGTAAATAAGAAAGCCATATGTGGGTCTGTTACTAGCATACTTTGAGAAATACGGTAGCAAGGGACTTTAGTCATCTCTTCACAATGCATCCTCGTGGATGGGAAGTGTTCACAGGCCTGCTAGGATTCAGAGCAAAGCTCTAACATTCTTCAGCAGATATTGGAGTCTAGCACACAACTTGCTCCACTTCCAAGGTCCAGAGCTGATGGCTTCCCTTTGGTAAGCACTCTCACAGAAGAGCCTCCTGGGTGCCTTTAGTGGATTGTAGGCTGATGTGATGTTCGGCCAGCCAGCGTGCCCTTTAGGAATGTTTACTGGGGTCACCTGTGGTCAGGGCATGCCTGCCCCACATCCACCCATTCATATGGCAGATAAGGTATGGACATCTAATGCCAGAGACTGTCAAAGCAGATATCGTGAACCAGTGTTTGGGGACAGGGCCTTTTGAGATACTTAAGTTTATACAGTCATCCTTTGGTACGCACCAGGAATGGAGCCCAGGATCCCTTTCAGGTACCAAAATTCTCAAGTACCCAAGTCTCAACATAAAGTTGCTAAACATCTGCACAGAACCCACACACAGACCCATATAGTTTAATCTCTAGATGATTTAAAATACCCAACACAATGAAAACACCATGCAAGTCATTGCTATACTCTTTCAGAAATAATTTTTAAAATAGCCGCATGTTCAGTGTAGATGCAGTTTTCCCCTTGCACATTTTCTGTCCCAAGTTTCCGGAATCCAAGCATGTGGAGGCCATCATTAGAAGTGGTATGGACAGAAAGCAGGGGGTGCAGGGAAGCTCTTGACAGCATGTTTTAATAGCTCCTGGAGGGAGAGAGTGGATCATGCAGGGTTGGGACAAGACACAGCCTATGGCAAGCCAAGGGAGACTGAGTAGAGTGGAGCCCAACCAAGTCAGCAGGAGCGGCACAGCGCTGTTTCCAACCTGAGGGACCTCAAGTCCCTGAAACCTGGAAAGACTGCCATTCCTAAGTGGCATGGATGCCCAGGACAGTGCTGTTTAGGACAAAAGCAAGGCCTGTGTTGTAAGACTTTTCTGCATTGAGCAAGCCGAGAAGGAAAAGGAGAGGGGTGAGGTAGTTGGCAGGGACTTAAGCCCACAGATTCAGGGGTGCTTCTTATGCAGACACAGATAGGCAGAGTGGGTTCCCTGTGTTCTGCAGAAAGAGATCAGGTGCTTCTCACTAGGCAGCAACAGCATGAAGCGGGTGTGGAGGAGTGTAGGTTGGTAAGAGGAAGCAGCGAGGCTGCCAGAGCCATGCCTGCAGCAGAAGAAGCAGTGCCCAGGGTCAGACCTGAAGGTAAGAGATGCTGCCGCTCTGGTGAAAGGAGTCGGCAGCCCATGAGTAAGCAATGCCTCGGCCACCTGGGCTTGGCTGCAGTCTGTTCCATAGACAGAGGGCTAGAATTGTAGCCAGTAGGACATCTTGTCCAGCAGGCTGTTGCTGCCTTACCCTCTGCAGATCATTTTCCCCTTTTTCATGATCTACGGTTTCACTGTGGCCCATCTAGGTTTGTAGTCTGTCTTACATAGGTCTCAAATTACCAGCTTTGGAAATTTCTACATCTTGTTTCTCACAAAGTACATATATATAGTATATATGCACCATAGTATACATACATACAGTATATATATAATACATATACATATATATTTATGTATATACATATATACATATATAAATATAATTTATATATATAAATATATATAATATATTTATATATATAAATATATATAATATATTTATATATATATAAATATATATATAAAATGTAGCAGGAGCTGAGCTCCAAGTTGAAGGACCAAACAGGTGTGTTCCTTCTCCCAGGTGAAGAGGCCTCTGTAAAGCTGGTGCCTAGCATGGCCACTGGCTTCATAGCTCATGCTTCGTCGACCTGTACGCCACCTGCCTCTCTTGTGTTCCACAGGTTCCTGTAAGCTTCAGTGAAACAGCAGCTCTGTTTATATTGATGCCAGATGCAGTCTGTTTTTTAGTAGCTTCTTTTGGTTTCTATATCTAGTGCTGGCCCCATGTAAATGGGACTCTAGATAAGCAGAATAGCTTACCTTGGGTTTCCATTACTGTGATAAAACACCACAACCAAAAGCAACATGGGAAGGAAAGCGTTTATTTCATCTTATTCTTCCACATCACAGTCTGACATTGAAGGAAGTCGGGGCAGGAAAGCAGGAACCTGGAGTCCAGAACTGAAACAGAAGCCACAGAGGAGGAGTGCTGCTTACTGGCCTGCTCCTTTCTTGCTCAGCCTGGTTCCTGGTACAAATCAGGACCACTTCCCTAGGGATGGCACTGCCTACAGTGGCCTGCACCCTCCCATATCAACCGTCAATCAAGAAAATGCCCCAGGGCTCTCCTGCAGGCCGATCTGCTGGGGGACATTTTCCCTCTTCCCAGACAACTGTAGCTTGTGTCAGTCAAGTTGACAAATACCAGCTAGGACACAGGACCAAAGGGAATCCGTGCCTATAGGTTTTGTCTTCTCAATATTCTGTCAGGCAGGCTTGAATCACAGGTTCCAGCACACAATCACTCCTTGTGGGCTG